CAAAAAACGTATAAAAGGGCATTTCGACGATATTCATCTGCGATTCTCTAAAATATCCCACATTAGGAGTAGGAATATTTTTATTGTAGATTAAAGTAAATTAAATTGACTTGTTTTTAAAATGTAGAAAACCAGGCGCATCCATATTAGTTCAAAAGATATAAAGCAAACAATCTCGATACTTTGCGAAAAACTTATAAAAAGGCGTTTCGACTAATTCATCTGCGATTCTTTAAAATATCCCACATTAGGAGTAGAAATATCTTCATTGTAGATTAAAGTAAATTAAATTGACTTGTTTTTAGAATGTAGAAAACAATGTGCATCCATATTAGTTCGAAAGATATAAAGCAAACAATCTCGATACTTTGCGAAAAACTTATAAAAAGGCGTTTCGACTAATTCATCTGCGATTCTCTAAAATATCCCACATTAGGAGTAGAAATATCTTCATTGTAGATTAAAGTAAATTAAATTGACTTGTTTTTAGAATGTAGAAAACAATGTGCATCCGTATTAGTTCAAAAGATATAAAGCAAACAATCTCGATACTTTGCGAAAAACTTATAAAAAGGCGTTTCGACTAATTCATCTGCGATTCTCTAAAATATCCCACATTAGGAGTAGAAATATCTTCATTGTAGATTAAAGTAAATTAAATTGACTTGTTTTTAGAATGTAGAAAACAATGTGCATCCATATTAGTTCGAAAGATATAAAGCAAACAATGTCGATAATTAGAAAAAAATGTATAAAACGGCGTTCCGGCGTATTCATATGCGATTCTCTGAAATGTAAAATAAAAATATTTCCACTTCTAATGTGGGATATATCATAATATCGCATTTAATTTTCTTGGATAAAATCTGATTCCCAGCAATGTACATTTTTATATGTCGCGGTAATGGTCCTTCAATGTACGATTTTGAAAGGGAACATTGCTTGGAATTGTGGGTAAAAAATTTCGCCGGAATTTCGCTAACTTCACACGGGTCCTAAAATAGCCCCGAGAATTTTGCAATGGTACGGTATGTGAAGAGTTTTCAGAGGTCGGGGAAAGGTCCATTAAACTAGGTTTGCCAAAAACGTTAATAGGGTTGCCATACCGTCTGGAAAATTCCGGAATTCAGGGTTAAAATTTGCCTCTGGGAAAAATTTAAAAAAATGCTCAAATGTCCGGAATTTTACTGCATCCCCATCGTACTGTGCACAATGCTAATATTACGAGGTTGTGTGGAATTATGATGTAACAGCACGTTTTCATTATCAATAATGTTTACCACTTGGAACTTTCTGATTATTATTCGCTGACTGTTTTACCCGTTTCGTTGAGCAGCTGCAAGTGTATTTGATAGCAGCTAGTTCCTTGTTAAGTTAGCTGAATACAGAAGTTTTATACCACTGAGCTTTACTTGTGGATTTTTCTATTTGAATAAGAAGCTAGTCAAGAATTCGGGATCGAAAGTGCTAGTCTCTGAAGCCTTTTAGTTCAGCTAGTCTGGTGGTAAATTACCTTGTTTTTCAGAGTATGCATTTTTAGTTGGGTTGTATTTATTGTTAATATGAAAAGATAGTATTTCAAATGGCTATTTCTAAACGAAAGTACACATTCACGAGATGCAAGAAAAACATCCATGTTTCAGAAAAGGCTGGAATGGTTATGAAGCAGAATGCTTGGTTTGTAAGTCAAGAACCTTTATATATATCTGTCGTGCACAATGATAATGGTGGTTTAAACACACATCTGCAATCGGAAAAACATCGCAAAGCATTAAAAGGGGCTGTTGCATGACCGAAAATGACAAATTATTGTGTGCAGCAGGAAGCAAATGCGAAAATAAAATCATTGCCGCAGAAGGCACTCTTGCATTTCACGCTGTTAAGTATCATCATAGCTTTTTGTCCATGGACTGTACATCTGTTTCACCCAAAAAGATTTTCCCTGATTCCAATGTAGCGAAGAAGTTAAGTAGTGGCCGCACAAAGACAGAAAAAGTGGTTACTAGCGTACTTGCGCTATATTCTATTGATGCTGTTCTGAAAAGTTTTGAAGACAAAGATATTGCGTATTTTGTCGTTGCAACAGATGGCAGCAATCAAAATGAACTGAAATTATTTCCTACAATTATTCAATATTTTGACCTGAGGAAAGGTGGTTTGCAATTAAAATTGATTGAGTTTACAAACAAGGCAAACGACACTGCCGACACAATTGCCACTTATATGAAAGACATCTTAGAAAAAATGATGCTTTTGAAAAAAAAGGGTGGCATTTACAGGAGACAACTGTAAAACAATGAAACAATGATTTCTAATAAACTTGAAGATGGAAAACATTCGCTACAATTCTTCCACCACCAAATGACTTTTGGCGATCGTTTGGGAGTTCTCCGACCATATTCGACATTTCAATTTTTTACATTTCATGGTTGCTTTCTTTTTATTATTGCGAGTCTCGGTAAATCTCCTGTTTCGTCTTAGGTTCTGCATTAGATACCACAAAGCAATGTGTTCTACGTAACTCGCCGTATATACATGGGTGGGAGCGAACACTAATGGAATGCATTACATATTCAAAATTTATTATGGGTTGAAAATCACAGATTGAAGTTTTCTTAGGTTCAATGCTTTTAACAACCAACAGTCAAGTGTGTTTTGCTTGATATATTAAAATACGTTGTGCACGCATTATCCTCAAGAATAAACCAAATATATACGTAAAATTAATGCAAATATCGTACGTTTTTGTAACAGAGTAATCTTAAAAACAAAATTCAAAATTAATTTATGTTTAGTCTCATTCTACGTAAATAGATGATACAGATACATTGTTAAAACAATGAAATATTCCAAAATTCAAATTTAATCATTACGGACTGTATCAAAAAAAAATTCCTTCAAAAAATTGTTTTGATATGCCATTGTTATCAAGAATGAAACAATGCATGCTTTTGATAAATCATTGTTTGAAATTCAAATGATAGTTTCGCGTATGGAGGAAATTGATTGAATTGGGAACTATCACTACAGAACAGTGGTTCTCAACGTGTGGTACGCGGGAGCTTTTCAAGTGGTACGCGAGCAGATTTTAATTATTGCAACAATTAACCTTTCAGTTGGATAAAATATGCCGACGACGCTTTATCTTCCTTACTGTATGTATTTGCGGAACAGCGTTTATGAAGGTTTCCCCAAGCATCAGTTTCCTTGTTTTTTAGTAACTATAACCAATCAGCAAAAAGTCAATAATGACGCAACTCGTAACAATCGCAATTTCTGCACCCAGCCCATCAGACACTTTTGTCGCTCAAACAGATATTCAAGCATGGTTGCAAACAATGCCTCGTTTTTGTAGTTTTGAGTGATATTTTTTAGTTGTATTTCAAGAAAATAATTGTGAATTAATTAACTTAATTGTCATTATGACTTCCGCGGACCTTTACTTTAGTTGCAGTAATCGAAATTGAATCTCACAAATGCTGTGATGGACAAAGCTAAACTTAGCTATATCCAGGGCTGCCATCGACATGAACCCAAAAATAAGGACATCAGGAAAACATAATATTAGAATAACAAAGAACGAAATGTAATAAATAAAATGTATTCCTGCCAGTACAGTACTGGAGCGCCGTTAGTGTTGTACGAACAGCTCAGATTTGTTGAATTTACAAAAATACGAATCAAAACAAAATACAATCGGGCACTTCACCACGCATTTTTGTGTCCACGGATTGTCATATTTCCTGAGTAGTATTGCTTTTATTTCGTCAACATAGCCGCAGATTAAAATGATCACAATTAAATTAATATTAAAGCAAGGCGATGAATAATTTTTTTTTGATTTACTAATATATATACTTTGATTATATTTTAAAAAAAATACTAAATCAAGTTGTACTTTCTGGGAATTCATAGCAGGTAGTAGAAATTTTGTAACGGCGATAACAAATTCGCAAGATGTATCAAAACTAAATATAAAAAATATGTATCAAAACTAAATATAATCCGGCAATATATTCTCATATTATTATGTTCGCAAAGAGACGTGGCATTTTGAAGAAGTAATGCTCTCATCTTGTCATGAGTCGACGCGACCGCGAGTGAGCATGAACACAATTAAAATAAAATAGAAAGAAATTTTAAATTCTCGTCGTTGTCATGGATTGAATATTGTGCGACAGAAAAGGCCATTTATACACTAAAAATTCGACTCTTTTAACAAACGCGCAATTGCGGCGAATTTCCAATTTTGGAAATCGTTAAAATTCTGTTGTGTTTAGTTTTATTACTTTTTCACACCGAGTACATTTGCAATAAACGCACGTTGAGTCCGCAAAGGTTTTCGCCGATGAGAAAATAGTCCGCGATCAAAAAAGGTTGGGAAACGCTCTTAGAGTGTTTTATGGCAAGGTTATATATTAAAATTGCAAAAGAAAATTTGTCATGTAAATTTTTATCGCTATTTTACGATAGTGGAAATTCTAGCGATAGATGAAATGTTGTATGCTGTGTTTAACTCTCATCTGTGCTGAATATATATGATATTTGAATATATGTAAACTAGAATATAGTTTATGTATTGAATCACGCACGGAAAGTTTCAGTCTTGACAGCATTGTAATATTACCATAATAAAAGCAACTGTATGCGAATTATTTATACAAAGCTATAAACATATTGTACATTTTCGTTTCATTCTTTTAGATTCACTATTGCGTTTTAATCTATATGAAATTTTTTTCGCATTCAATTACAAAATTTGCTTATGCGCAAATGCGGATTTTCATATTATGCAATAAATTGGAAATTTCCACGTCCACAATCACTATATTTACCTATAATTTTGCACATATGGAAGATTGATTGAATTGCAAAGAATAAAAAATTTGTCTAATTTTCATTTAATATCCACAGGAAATTCCCGGAAATAGTTTGTCCTCGTTTCAAGCATGAAGTACGTATAAAACTAACCCGATTGATTTCGTTGATACGTTTCTCCTATATTTCCCACGGAGAAAATTTCGGAAGCAGTGAATGGTCAATCCGTTGTTTTTTCCGACCATATGTGTAGATGGTTATATAAGTCACCATAGCGTGTCAATTTCATGTACTGAAAGCTATCTTTTTAAAAGGTGAGTGAGTATTGGTGAACATGTCGTGATAATACCGTACCTACATATTGTGTACCATTATCTGATCACGATGATTGCCCATAATTTCCATCTCTAGTACCCAAATATATCGGCCCGACGGGACAACAAGATTTGCCCCAAATAACAGATTTTACTGAACGATCCATATGCATAATTTGTGACTAACAATCACAAATATATTGAATAATATCATGAACTGTGTAAAATATGTATGTACAATGTAGGAAAAATATATTTGGGTTACGTGCAAGTTCATAATATGTTGATTTTTTTTATTTATATATATGAAACGCTTCAATATATTTTTATTAGGTAGTTGTCGAGATGGGAACGAAAACTTTTCTTCTGATTGCATTGTTGTCAGTCCTAGTTTTCAACGAATCTGAAGCATGGAGATTTGGGAGAATATTTAGAAGTATCAAGAGGACTGTGTCACCAATGTTGGGGGGCAATGGAATGCAAAATGGCCCAAACGAGTGTGGTGGAGGTGGAGGCGAAGAATATCAGCAACGCTCCTATAACAGAGGGTATAATATGTTGAAACCTCAAACTCATTTGATTGAAGGTTGATGATATCACGACTATATAATAGGGTCAATTTTGTACTAAAATCGGTAACTGTGACGTAGAACCAATCCAAACATGAAATGTAAAGACAGCTGAGACCCAACTTTTCAAAGGATCTATTACTGAGAAAAACAGTCGAACAAACTGTACAATTTTCATGGATTTGATGAAAAATCAAATGCAATTTTATCAAAACATAAATCGACCAAAAAAAAAAAGTAAAGCATAAAATGTCATTTGTTCTTGTAAGGCGACAAAGGTTACACTTTACACAAATGTATTTAAAATTCATATATATTCTTTCTGCAACATTACAGCCGTCGTCGACGTCGTGCATACCAGGGCAGAAGACGACGTAGAAGAAGATCCAGAGGAGACAATGAAATTAGCGAACAGGCAAGAAATCTTTTCACGCAAATTAAGTATATAAAACTAGATTAAACATTTGATATGATTGGCTTGAGTAGAAGAAAATGAATAAATATTGAAAGCCTTGTAACGAAACAAAAAATTCACGTTCCTAGTGAAATTTATTCATCGAATTTTTCATACTCATTATATTCAATGAGAGTTGTGTACGTGACCGTTCCTTCACTCCTCGTAAATTTTTCAGAAAGTTTCAGCCTTGACATGTTTCAAATTTTTTTTGCATGTTAACCTCACGTATTGTTTACTGTATAAATATGAATATAATATAAACTTATTCAGGAACTCGAGGACGCCAGTGATTTTATGGACATGCTTGCTGATGAGTATGGCGAAATTCAAGCCCAGAAATTGTTTACAGACTTCTTAGCACAATACAAGGCAAAAGAAGGTATGAGTTGTATATTGACTATTTTAATTGGAATAGCGTAAGCTGTGTTCTTGCATCACAACTGCTGTCTTAGCACTATATTTTATACTATGAATAACTAGCCTTGCAAAAGTGACACATATTTTCTGCTTATTTACAGAAGATGTTGATGATTCTGCGAAACATCTATTTGATGACGATAAGGAAGACATCGCTAGCTTTGAATAATCTAATCTAGATTCTCCAAGATGTTTGACTGTCGGACCGAACATGACATCATGAAATTATATTTTTACTTTGTTGTTTTTATGGGCATAAAATAAAACGGATGCTAATTATGGCAATTTGATGTGTGTTGATCTGATACAGATTACATTTGTTTTCATTCTTAGTATTTAGCGCATGTTCTCGGATTTGTTTGGCATTTTTTGCTAGACATGTAATGGAAATGTCGGTACCTACCTTTTCATACAGTGCTCTTACATATATTATTTTGTGATCGGATAGATGGTTCAAATCCCAAACAATATGGACTTGAAGACGACTTTAGATCCTGTTGGATACTTTTTTTGACAAAATTTGTAGTACTCTATCTTTGTAGACGCGTAGTTAAATCTCACTTGTTGTCGGTTGAAGAGGTCGCATCCATTTGTCCCAGTAGTTCCTAGATCAGGGGTGGGCAACTTCTCTAGTCGGCGGGCCAGATGTGGGAAAATGAAGTACTCGGCGGGCCGGATGATTACAAAAAATTCTTCGGTATCCAATCTTTATTATATGCTCATGGTAATGCTCTGGAATATTATACTGTCTATCTTGATACATTCTGGTTTAAACAAAGAAATATTCATAACCTTTTATTTGGATGGATTTGGATTAATCAAAAAAAGCATGCAGAGCGGAAAAGGCACGCATGCTGATTCCCAGGTTTCTGAATCTTGCGAGATTTGACGGAGCGCTTTCACGATGAATCGGAACCGAAAAAGAAAAAAGTGATTACTCAGGGCCAAGACGTCCCCTGGTCATTAATACCGCACTTATCAAACACCAATATGACGGTGGAGGAGAAATTGCGTAATAAACCAACATAACTTTGACCTATTAATCAAGTTAGACTTAACAGCAATTTCACCCTTTGATATCATTGGTTTTGTAAATCTAATAAGGTATAAGTTTTTCTGCTTAAACTTCATGAGTGACGCAGCCTTCTTGAGCCGCAGCCGCAGATTCTTGAGTTACAATATATATTCGTGCGCCTTGTTTAAAGTCAAAACGTTTGAAAGAGAACGCAATAGGTAACTAAAATGACAGGATGAAAATGTTTTTTGGAAAAGGGATATTATTTAAAATGAATTCACCATGTCAAACACTTTGGTTTCAAAATTAACTTTGTAATCAGTATCGGAGATTGAAATAAATATCGATTATCGAGTGCAGTTGGGACTGCTTGCTATTTATTGACTAAATGAGAAATAAAATCGGAATCTATAAAATAAATCATTTTTGATAATAATAAAATTTACAGAGCCTTATTTATTTAGTCATTGTATTCTTGCATCGGCTTTTTCAACAAAGATTTTACGATCTCAAAGTGATAAATATTCAGTTTCAATGAAACTCTAACACTATGGATAACTTTTTGCCACTACCAAAATGAAAAATTACTATCTAATGCAATGGTTGGTTCCCAAGCTGGGGTTCGTGAAGCACCTTTGGAGGGTCTGCCAAAAGAATCTGTTATAAGACTCATAGTTTGATGATACAAAAATTAGGTTCTTGAATTTGTGAATACACATTTGTCGTCTTTTTCTGTTTTACAATCACTGCTGGGAACACTGATTCTTTACTTTTTGTTTCGATCAAGCAGCCCAATTGTGATGTTTCAGAGCTGTGGGCACAGAGAGAGTTCAATCGATGCCATTACAAGTCAACTGACTGCAGAGGTGTAGCTGACGCTGCTTTTTTGCACACTTGTTGGTATGGAGGGAGTCACAGCAAGCAGTTTATAAAGTATGTCAGTTCGCTTCTAAATACTGTTTTACGTTTTTATATTGAAAGATAGATTGCGTGGGTCTAGTATAGTTTAGTACCACAAGTACTTCCAGTGGGGGTAGCATAACGAATTTTGCATATGGTATTCCTAACCATCACCTGACTATGCCATCCAAAAATTACGTCACTACGACGTCACCAACACGTCATAGGACTTGCCGAATTATATTTTACGATCGCCCGAATTGGCATCTGCGCCGCCGATAACGAACTCGCTAAAGCCGGCGATCCCTCTCCTATCGTGATCGTTGTGACAAGAAAACGAGAGAAATACCTTGATCGATTTCGGATGATCGTCTGCGCGTTTTGGACGACTATCCCAATACTTTGGTAGGCCTTATTTCGCAACTGTGGCGTCAAAATGACGTAATTTTACGGTGGCGTAGTCAGGTGGGGGTTAGGATTGACATATGCAAAAATTGAGCCAGGCCAACTAGAAGTGCATGTGGTACTTAACTATACCAGATCCGATAGCGTAAGGTAATTAGAGCGTAGCCAGAGAGGCACTAAGTTTTAGTTTTTAGCTGTCAAAATTAGCTTTTGACATACAGCAGGGGTGGCCAACGTGCTTTGGACGCCGATCGACTAAAATAGCACGCGATCGACTTATCGGCAATAAAGTCCTATACTGCACAAAAGCAAATGGATACTGAATATGTGCAGATAACTATACACACGCTTACAAAAAATTCTACCGCTGTCAAAAAGGTCTGCTCGTTGGGCTCATTAGGCTACTGATAAAATTGCCACAAAAATTTGTATTGTTTTATGTTTCATTTAGTTCGTTAATTTGAAAATGTAATTGTACCCGGAGTAAATGTTTCATCATTTATTTGAAACTTTTTCAATTCATATAATTCAATTAGGCCTGCCAAATTTTTGATCGTAAGTGTTGAAAATTCTTCATAAAGTATACATGTACTATCTAAACCAGTGGTTCCCAACCTTTCTACCCTGGCGGATGGTAAAATTAAATTTAATGTACTTGCGGACCGGCAAAAAAATGGAAACCAGAAAAGAATAACATATACAGGGAGTCCTCGTGTTACGAAGGTCGCGACTTGCCTGTTTCGAGGTTACGAACGCACTCCATAAAAATATAAAAGATAGTACTGTGCTGTAATATCTAAGCCCTTAAACTGGATCATTGCGATCAAGAAAATCAGTGATTTGGGCTCATTGGTTTTTGTCATTTACATCATAAATGACGTGGACAATTGCGAACTATTACGATTATGAACAAATAATCACTAAGCTTGAGTCACATGGTACACAGTTTCAGTGATACTGTACGCCATTTTGGTTGTTCCGACTTACACTGAAATTCGGGTTACACCGCGTGTCAAGAACGGAACAACGTCGTAAGTCGAGGACTTCCTGTATTTGCGCAATATAATGCAATGTCAGGCACTCTAGACTCTATATGCTTCTAGACAAGAAAGGCACACTTAAAAACATTTCACACGAATGAAAACTATCAAATAATGTGCCGGCCAAAAATTGAAACGGGTGACACATAAAATAATACCATATATTTGCGTAATGAAATGCAGTGCTGGGCGCTCATTGTGCGTAAGAAAGAAACACATAAAACATTCCACATAAAAAAATTTACATGCCAAATCATTTACAAACACAATTAACTCTAGTGAGAATTTTGCTGCTGTTTCGTTTCCAATATAGGACTGCAAACGAGACCTCGAAGAAGTTTATGCAACACGTAGATCTGCAGTGGCGTGCAGCCGATTTCTTTGGATCGTTTCAATTAAAGCAAGTGATGAAAATGATTTTTTCGCATAATGCATAAGTAACTGGTTAAAAATACGGACAACAGTTTGATTGCTCGGTTACTTAGCAATGGGTATTCGTTATCAAGAGATATCCAAAAAATTGTGTCAGTGATTCTATTTTAAATCTGGACTTTAAACTTGGATCACAATTTTAATCAATGATGTAAAAGAAGAAGCTTGATTAAAATTGTGATTCTACTTTACATGACCAGATTTAAAAAAGAATCACAGTAACAATTTTGGATATCTCTTAATAACGAATACCCATCGCTAAGTAATCGGGCAATCAAACTGTTGTCCGTATTTTCAGCCAGTTACTGCGTTATGCGAAAAAACATTCTCATCACTAGCTTTAGTTTTTTATGTATATAGGATGTTTTATGCGTGGTTTTCTCACGCATAATGGGTGCATATATTGTTAAGTTTTCAGCTCAGTAATATTAATTTCATGATGTCTTCTAAAATTCAATGTGATGCGACGAATCGTATGTAAAGTTAGGGTTCGTCGTGATAAACGTAGGTGGAGATATGTTTTCACTATGCCGTATGGCGCATTTATTTTTTTTGTGACATTTTAATATTTTATTTTAGTGCACAAGGCCGCGAATCATTAGAAAAATTGAAAGGGGTCCGTCATGGAATCTTTTTAAAAAGTTTTGGAACCACTGAACTAATGAAAGCGTTAGAAAGTGAATGACGAAACAGGAAACTCAGACCACGGTCGAATGAAAGCTCATAACATACTCATTATTTCATGTTTGGAGATCATGCTGCTTATATGTTTACACACATCGATAAGGTAATGTGACATGATTTTTAATGCGTATTTAAAAATAATAAATAAACATAATCATGCGATTAAAATAGCACGGATTGTTGAGATGTCTTCACACCGATCATACGCTTGCACATTAGTGTTACCTGATTAGGGTTTAGTTATCTGTAGCAATAATCGGAACAGATTTGAATTAATTTAAATAAGTAAACAACCTGAAACAATTCTGGAATGGTTGCTTGGCGAGGTAGTTAACCTCAACACGTTGGTTACACTCGATTTGCCATAATGGCGTTGATTTCACTTACTAAGAGCTTTCAGCTATGTCAGGCTAGTGCAGACCGTCCTTCAGAATCCATAAATTGCTTAATTGGTAATGTGCTGTTGAAAATGCGTTTCTTGCCGCTTTGGATTGAGGTAATATTCGAGATTACTAAATAGTGTTTGCATTTGTTTTTGAGTGTGAACTCACGGAATACGTCAAAATTAGAGAAATCATGCATTGGAATTGGTTTCACTCAAAAAATTTAGGTCGATCAGGCGAGTTCTATAAAATTGGGATTACTAGAGTTCACACCAATTCAAACCACAATCAATTCAATAAGTAATGGAAAATTAAATTATAATAAAACCAATAAAACATGAACTAAGGGAAATGGTTCGCATTTTCACTCGCCAATGAGTTTACCGAATGGACGCAACAACAGGAAACGAGTTCTCAATTCTATCACTCATTGCTTTCTATAATACTCAGAAAATCCTTCAGAAACAAACGACCTACATTTACTTCCTGGCGAATTTCATAAAACGATCGCCGTGTAGCATCAGTTCAAACGTGATTTTATTTGCATTTGGAAAGGCTTCTGTTTTATATTCGAAATTTCGGGGTAGTTTTTCCATTTTATCGTTAGCTTCTTAGTCAATTACAGGCGCAGATTCCGATTTAATAGGCTGAAATATATAGAAATTCTATACAACTTTTTCAATAATACTTGCATTATAATTTGTTCGTAATTTGCGGACTTATATTCGAGGATTCATATTAAAAAGGCATCGTAAGTTTCAGATAATAATTTATATTTGGTTTCTTGGAAATGACATATAACATATTCAAAGAGGCGATAAAGAAATTTGTTAAAACAGACTATATATTTTTTGCCATCGTTTTCTCTACTATTAACGAGTCCGGATCACTCGTTAAATATAGGTTAATATTAAATAAAATATGTCTTAAAGAAATATTTTCCTATGGGTTATAATTTTACCACTCGTAATAATAACTTGATAACTTATACTCTTGATAAAAAGGTCATAAGAGCTAAAAATTCATCAATTCTATTTGCAGACAACAAGTCTAACTTGAAACATCTTAACCGGATTTCACGGAGTCCACGCCGTCTTGTTTCCCACCAACGCGACGCTACCTCAGCGCTTGACGCTAAACGTGCAAGCGGTGTTACGTGCGGCACGTCCGGGCATTGTTTACCCTTCCAGTTTATCAAATCCAAGTGTTCCGCCTTGAAACATCCGACGTCTAAAATATAAGCAGCAGACCAACGCTGTTGAAATCAGTTACTCTGACTGACTTGTTCTGAAATTTTTGTGGATGCTTCATTCGTTATTCCAAAAGAATTGGTTAAACTTGTCCGGATAGAATATATTTATTCATCCACGACTAACCACTGATTGACATAAGGCGTTATTTTAATTCATTTTATCGATTATGCAAACTACTAGTTGGGATATCGTGGGGCGTTCATTTAATATGCATTTAAACATTCATAATCTAAATCTTATAGATGTTGTGAATCTTTCGGCACTGTAAAAATAATTATATTTTGATAAAATTTGCACGTGTAACTTTCAATTTCCTTCTCATTCTTGACAGTTTTGAGCGAAGTTAAAAGTAACAATTATCCTGGTAAAATGTCTATAATTATAACAATAGTTCTTCTTATGGTCAGCGTGGAAATGGGCAGCAGTTTATACGACGGATGTACTTCCAGTAAGTTACTTTTTCACTCATTTAGTTATACATTTATATAACACTCTTCGATTCGAAGTGTCCTTTTTTAAATGCAACGTTTGAAAGTGGCTCTAATCAAATTTTTGAAATATTAATTTTCTCATAGTTGTAATAAATAACACATTTGAAATTTAATATTTTCTGTATATCCTTCACACATATTTTTTATCCCATAATTTGTATCAACAGAACTTTACCCTACTAATTGCCCGTTGCAATTCGGAAATGTCGGACGTAAAAGATGCATTAAGATGAAAACTGCAGACTTCGGTTCGGCTTTCACAAGGCTGGAAGGAGACAGGTATTGCAAAGAAACATACGGCAATGGTGCTCATCTGGCTGATATTCACGGTAAACAAGAATTTCTTGATACCAGATGTTACATGATCCAAACAAGCACAGTTGCCAACGCAAGAGACCCCAAAGTACTTTTGGGGATGACCTATAATAAAAAGGTATGTGTATAATTTATATTTAGTGAATGTCCCATGTAGATTTTCGTAACGTCTTTTTCTTTGCATATTAATAGTTAGAAATGTGCTGTCTTACATGCCATGAGAATTTTTCCACGATTTTGCAAAAGCTATAAGTATTATATGCATTTTTCAGATTAAAATGTGATATTACCCGTTTCAGAATCATGGAATGTGAATTCTATCAGAGCCTCATGTTTTCTTATCAAGTTTTCATTATAGTATCCCTAACATTTGGCATAAAAAAAAAACTAGGCTCAAATGAAAAAATTGTTGTTTGTCGAGATTTTCGCAAAAAAACACATCAGTTCAATATTTTAATTTTAACTCTCATACAAGTTTATACGAATGCATGACCCTACTGAATTGAGTTTAAAATATACCTTCACATTGCTTTATCACCTCGTTCTATGTACAGTTTAAATGAACAGAGTTTGTAACTTGGGATTAAATTTTCAAATTGTGTCATAGATTCTACGTTTCTTGAACAGTCTATGGCACAGCTAAAGTACTATCTGTGTTGAGTTTTATCAGAAATTATGATACTAATTGATAAATTTTAATTTTCCTCCAAACAGACCAAAACAACATACGACTATGATGGAACCGAGCAATCAGATTCCTACTGGGGCAAAGAGCCATCAGAGCTCACGTTGGGAGATAACATGATTATAAGAGCTCATGAAACTGTGAAAAGAAGTTTTCTGTCGAATTTCGGATACAAGGAAACAAGATATGAACGTATTCTCTGTTCATGGCCAGTCAAGAAATAGATATATTCTACTACTAAAAGAAGAAACCCCAGTCTACAAGTTTTTGCGAATTTTTTATACGAAAAAAAAACTCCTCTTAAATTAATATTTAAATTGTGGTCAATTAAAAATACTTCCTTAAAATTGGTTAGTCGTTTTGACGCCGCCCTTTTCGATAAGCACATTGCGTTCTTGATATTTGCGCATATTGCTCTTTTGATTAGAAAACTGTATGCACGATAAAATACCAGATATATAAAATACAAAGTAATTGGAGACTATACTTTAGTGTTACCTCCGTATGACAATTTCTCAGAATAAAAACGACTGGGTGTAGGACCATTGGACTCGGAATTACGTTCATGAATTTTGACGTATACATTTTGCGTTTTTAATTTTTCTGCTGATAAAAACCCAATAAAAAATACGAAAAATGAATAAATTGTGTGTTACGTTGAAGTTTCAACGTGAACTGGCCATTGAGTGGAAATATTCCAATTAAGTATATAGAATACTCAAGCTTCGGTGATGTCCATAAAAAGATTTTATCTTAGGTTACCGCTACTCTAAATAAAATAAGAAAATGGGCTAGTTGGCGAGACAGATGGAATTTGCATATAATTGTTGACAATGAATTTAAACTATATAACACTATGGAAATGAGTGAAGACAGCGATAGTCAATGAGATGTATCTCTAGTAGTAGCTTTTCAAATTGCATCTTAACATCTTACAAGAGACCTGCGCTGTTTTGTGTATCTACAGTGTTATTCTGAAATCATCATACATATCGATTGCAATGTTTCAGAGGAAATCACGAGGTACGCAGAAACAGACGCAAATTCCTGCGTCATATTGTTTTGTTTAGCACGGGGAAATAAACGTATCACGCTTAAGGGCGTAACGCTTAATCGGCATGCGTGCGTATATTGAACTGTTATTTGTAAATTAGCGAACTTAATTGCCTACCTTTTAATTTCCTAATGAAAATCCCATTGATCCCACTGCACAAGATTCAAACTTCAAATTTCAGGGTTGACCGGAGCATAGTACTAGTTTTTTCGAAATGTGTAGAGATAACTTGGATAGAACATAACAGTCCAAACGTAATAAAAAATTCGACGAGTCTTGCACGTTGATAATACAATCCAGAGTTCTGCCATATCCGATTATAACCATAGTATAAATACTCGGTATTAATTTGCAGTAAACAATAAAAAACTGATCAAATTATAAAAATTTTGTTAGAATACGATTGTAAATTTATTCGCATACTTAAATAACTTGAAACGTATATTCTTAGGGTAACGAATGCAAGCCACAACTTGCCCGCATCTGGGGCAAGCCTGTCCGCCCGGCAAAGACTACAAAATGAAAATAAATAACGGACACAACGGTTTAACACAAATGGGAAAATATCGATTCATAAATTGCAATTCCTGATTGTACACCTCGTATCCCAAGTGTATTTTTTCACAGAACAATTGTTTTTCTTTTGCATTATTCCAATGGTTTCCATCTGTTCATCGCTCAGCCGTTGATAAGCTTGATGTGGCTCATTGTCGCTTGGTATTTCTCTGCCTATTATAGGCTGCAAACACATTTTCGTATTTATTCGTAGTCAAAAAAACAAATTTAGCAAGTTAGGTTTGATATGTACATATTGGAAATATGTAAACCAGGGGTCGGCAACCTACGACCCGCGGGCCGGAGCAATATAATCCGACCCGCGACGCTTCGCTGAGTTATAGTAACAAAACAGCTGTTTTTACGATTATAGTCTTTACGTAACAGAATTTATTGTGAGACACGTGTATAGACTAATTTATCTAACAAGTAAATAAATCACAATTACTCGTTTAATGATCCTATAATTTAATTATAATTAGACAAATGGCAATAAAACGCAGAAAAGTTGATGTTACGTGCAAATGGTTTAATGGCGCAGAAAATATTCAATCTTCGCACGCTGCTTAAAATTTAACTTCTGGCCTGTGTGGAAACATGTGATTCATCGGCGATCCGTTCGGTTTTTAACTTTCTATAAATACGTGCGGCCCGCCAATGATTCGCAACCTTTAATTATGGCCCATAATTATGGCGCATGACATATATTTGGCTTAAAGTTTGAGCTATATTAGGCGATATTCGGAATATAGAGTATGACATTTAAAAACGAACCTGGTGAGAGTACATATATTTGGCTTAAAGTTTGAGCTATATTAGGCGATATTCGGAATATAGAGTATGACATTTAAAATCGAACCTGGTGCTCCTCTTCCAATTGCGAGGGCTTTCGCAGTAAACATACAAAAGGAGCAAATGCGATATTCAATATTGCAACAATATACATTAACCAAGTAAACCCAATAAGGCGTATTACTGTGCCAGCTACAACGGGACCTGCAAAACGAGATAGTTATCAGTTTCTCTGGTTTGCTTTGCCTATGATTCAAATAATTAGATTGCTAAGCAAAGGAACACAAATCAAGATACACGTGATTTTATACAAAAATATCTTATACCTATGATAAATGCCATACAAAAACCAGTTTTAGCAATGGAATAAACGACTCCGTAGGTTGACGCGTGTCTCATGTCGGCTAAAGTTCCCATTATTGGCAATATGGTTACATCCACCATTCCAACTCAAGTTCCGATTAAAGTTGCTGGTCCAAATAAGTGGAAAAACCTGAAACATTTACAACAAGAAGCTAGGATTACCGGTACGTTAAAGAACGGTCTTTTTATGATTAATCGATGAATAACTATGTAGCTTTGCATGCCGTAAACGTATGTAGACTCAATATATACATAATTTGAGCGTTTTGCTTAAATTGTTGTTGAAATGAATGCTGTTTTTGGGAGAATTCGCATTTCTTAGCAACTATAAACAACCGATTTCAAAATTTAATATTTGAAAATGGGATACATTGCTTGAAGACTATTACTTTTATTCGTTTTCCAAATTTACTCTCACTTTTATTGAATCGGTTATGCCACCTAAAACTGTGGTATTTTGTTTTAGTTCACGAAAACACTTACGCAATCACAAAAATCGTATGCGAGTCATTTTTGGAAACGAAAATTTGGTTTAAAAATTTCAAAATGCTAGCATTTTATGCACACACTAATATCTGGTAATAATCTGTAACTTTTTTTCGTTCTTTCAGTAGGTGATTAACTATCTCGACCTAGCTTCTATTGATAATCTGCATAAAATTTTGGCAATTTCGTAGCTTTCTTCAGAAAAATTTCGTACAATAAATTTATGATTGTTCATACGTCTTAGATTGCGGATATAATACAGATCCAAGCGCTGCTAAAAAATAACCAACAAAACAAATAAGCCATCTTTTATCAACACCGAAGACTCTCGGAACAATTGTAGTTGTTAATAAATACGAAATGCTTGATGGAAGAGCGGCCACGCCTGAAATGCAAACAAACTATTTAATTCTATATGAATAAAGAAAATAGAAGAAATGATGGTGGGACAATAACAAACGTTTTATTTTTCGGCTTCAGAAAAGATAGAGGAAGGATAGGGGAGTTTGTCTCGCGCAACCCAACTTAAAGAAACGTATAGAAAATGATAAACAAAATAAACAGATTATACGAGGAAATATGAAAAAGAAATATCAGATAACCCAACTACTACTAATTTTAATTTTAGGTAATGAATGCCGACTTGATACATGAAACATACCAAGCATCCACTTTTTAGCACACATAGTCGTCATCATCCAAGTAGGTAGCCCAGTTTCTATAACAGCAATTGATAAGTTTCCAAACACGATTGCTGATGCAGCCAACAAGATATATGGATCTTTCAGTGTTTTTGAATTACACAAATCTAGTGCTTTATGCTGTAATAGGAAAAGTTAATTGACCTGCTGCATAATTAATAAAAATATTTAATAGTTTAAAATATCGCTCCAAAAGTGTATGTATCAATATGGAGGTAACTAATTTTGTTTGCTTGAATTGCATCAAGTTGTATAAAGAGACAGAAACCTATGGACAGGCGGTATATTCACAGACAGCTAACACAGACAGTCCCCGAACCCGTAATAGAACTAGAAGATTCTCAATTCAACCGGAAGGCTCGAGAAAATTGGAATACAATTATGGCCTAACCCTAATCCGAAGTTATATTATGCCACATATACTAATGTACGAGTACCTAAAATATTGCGCAATAAAAGAAAAATATATGAAACTGATTGTGGTTATACTCGTGGATAACAACTCTTTTCATACATCTCTCTTACGAATATTGAATATTATTTGATAATCGATTTTTTATTATATTAAAATTCATTTACTTCATTTGGGGAATAGCCATCGGAAAATTCTAATCCTTTATTAGAAGTGCATGACAATAAAATTTTCTAATTCTGATAAAAACATTAAAACGCCTCGGTGTTTTCTCACTTCTCTTCAAATAATCTGGCACCAGAATTATTCTACACAATGTACAACAACGAGTGAATGGCAAAAAACGAAACGAGAAATGGTGGAAAAAGTATCATGGTTGAGATTTTAAAAGATTACAATATTCCCACTTTCCCTCCTCATTTAATTATTTCGAATTATCATTAGAATGGTTGAAACCTTCAATACTTTGATTAGTTACCTGAGTCGCATTTTGAATCTGCAACTGGCGAGAACATAATTGAAGAAAACCTATCAAGAATGATGCTGCAGCAAGAACAAGAAATGGCGTGGATTTTCCTGCCATTTCATAGGTTAGGCTACCAAAACTTGGACCAACTGAAACAAAAATTTCTCATTTAAAAGCAAATGGATATTCATGCTAAGACATCAAAAAGCAAATTGTAAATTGCAATGTTCACAATAATTTACTTGAAGAAAAACAATTTTTGGTAATGAATAATCAAACAAACTTACTCAAAACGCCCAATGCCAACCCTCCCAAAGCAATTCCAATCATTTTGCCTCTTTCTTCATCATTCGGAAATCGGCTTGCAAGCATTGCCAGTCCTGATGTTGTCGCCAACGCAGACCCAACTCCTTGCAAAGCACGGGCAAAGAATAAAACAGCGTACGTCGTCCCAAAAGCGAAAGCTGTTGAAAGTACAAATTCAGATACGCAAAAGAAAGTTCAGACTGGTCTAGCACTTGGATGAGAAAAAATAAATGAAAAACTAGATAAGTTTATAAACAAAGCAAAATGAAATCTGATCAATATACAATAATCATGTATTTTTATGGTCCACTCCATTGATAATAGACTAGAAACGGAACTCTACTCCAAACCAACGGACACCCACCAATATCTTTTACCGTTATCCTGCCACCCAAGATATGTACACCGGAACATACCCCATGGACTAGCAATAAGAATTAGAAGAATATGCTCAACCACCGAATTTTTTAACAAACACAGTGACATCCTCAAGCAGCATCTTAAAAAGAGGAATTACCCCGAGCACCTGTTAAACAAAGCCATAGAGCGAGCAAAAAATACGGAACCACGATACTGACACCAAAAAAGCCGACAAAACGAAAAGCCGACACACCTCTGGTCACGACGTACCACCTACTCCTCCCACCAATAAGAAAAATATATCAAAAGTACCAATAAATCCTACACCGCGACGCCCTGCAGAAAATATTCCCAAACCCCCCATTATAGGCTACAGAAAATGTCCAACACTAAGGGATTTATTAGTGCGAGCAAAATTAAAAGTGAACACACAAAAAAGCCGACCAAAAGGAATTGCAACAGAAAAGGGTGCACGACCTGCCAACATTTATCTGAAATCTCAACATTCAGAAGCACATCGACCGGCAAACAGTTCCAAATCTTCAAACAAATCAGCTGCAACACGAGAAATGTAATATAGCTAATAACCTTTAAAAAATGCCAGGCACAGTACATTGGAGAAACCGGAAGAAAATTAAAGTCTCGTACGGCAGACCACCTTAGGGACATTCGAAAAAGGACCCCAACACCAGTTGCCAACCATTTCAACAGGGAAGGGCACAATATAGACGATTTCAGTATCCTAGGAATTGACTCACTAACCCACGACGAACTTTACAGGAAAAACGAAGAGCATTTCTGGATTGACTCGGCAACCACAGGGAATCAATAGAAATGATTAAAACTCAAACGGAGAAGTGGTCTTAACGCAAATATAAAACCAAAAGTCAAACAGTACTATCAAAACAACAACAACAATACAAACAAATAAGGTTCAAAAACAAACAAAGGAAACTACACAAATAGACGAACGCCAACCCAACCACATCAGTTAGACCGGCTATCCTAAGATGATACGATAGCATCCATATCCAGTTATAGGAAACTCAATAATAGACTAAATTTATATGATCTTTTATATTTACAGTTATATCTTGTATTGTTTGAAGAAGTTAGACCATGGTCTAACGAAAGCTCACAAATATACTTACTATTTCGTTGAAAGAGATCATGTTATTTTTACTTTAATACTATCTCGTTCAAGCATCCTTGTGGTGAGTGCCACATACGGATCCGAAGTAGAAAGTAATCAAGGAGAAAGGGCCTGCAGTTCAATACACAATATCCAAGTTCTTTTTTTTTTCAATGTTACAAGAATGAATTTTAATCTCAGGCAACCTCAACCCTGTGGTTGTCATGAAAAAATGTCACAAAAGCTGTATGCAAATATAAAAGAATTTAAACAGGGGTATAAAACATTTGAAAATATACTAACTTATTGATGAGAAAATATAAATGATGTATCCTGCAAACATCGGAACGTCATATCCGATTCTATCAGTTAGAGGACCCACAGCAACATTTGCGATTGCTTCAGTGAAAGGTTTCGACGCCAGGAGAAATCCAAGAAAGAGATTTTCCTTTTCTAAAATATCTTTACTACGACTCTCTCGACATCCAAGCGTTTTAGTATAGTTTCCAAAATCTGAAAATCAGTAATATCGAATATGCTCACTTAATAAAAGCGGGTTATTGATTTTCGTGTTGGAAATTTGAACAAAACTCTGAATATAAGGTTATTAATCTTCCTTTTTTTATTTATCCCCACACTGAAATTATAATTCTTAGACACGAAGTGGAGATATGTATTGTTTTGTTAAATTGTTGTTGTTAGTATTCTTGTTATTGTTGCGAAAAATGTGATACTACCCCATTTCGGCCTTCTTGGCCATTTATTACCCTCTAGTTTTAAAACAATAAATATTTTTCATGAACTTTTCAAACCGTAATAGTTTAGATTGGAGCTTTAGATTGGAGCTTATTTTTGGGCACTGAAACCAGTCTCAATCACCATCAACAAACAATGTTAGCTTACGACTTCGGAATAGATCTAAAAGTGAAATACTTCACAAATGAAAAGACATTGATCTTCCTCAGAAGCATATGTGGCATAATGAATTAAATTTATGCATAAAAATATTCTTTTGGTGGACAAAATGATAACTAAGAAAATAAATTTACGTAAATCATTAGTTAAATCAGTCGTTTAAACTAATGTAAAAATTGGAGATAAATCATACTTAATGAAGTATATCATTACCAATTCTGGTTTGCGTTGAGTGAGATTCTGTTGGGCGTACATCATCTAGAGAAGTAGTTGAATCAATTTCACCATTCGGCAAATGTACGTCTGTATTTTCATGAAAGAGGTACTCCGGAAGTATAGGAACTGAATTGAATGATTATAATATAGATAATAAACATTAGATAATTTATGTAAGATTTCTGAATAGTTACACATGACCGTACATTTGAACCCATGTACATTTGAACCCATGCGTATATCCACGGGTTCAATCTATATGCGGGTGCTAAAACCCATGGGTTAGGGTTAGTATGGGTTTAACTATCCGTGAAACAAAAAAAATTCCATAGGTGCAATAGCATACAGGTGCAATTGTCATGGGTTCAAATGTACGTGGGTTCAAATGTAATGGAACCGAATCTTTCATATCTAGGAAACGTTTACTGATCACGAAAATTTTATTGGAGTTGAAACGTAAACCGGAAAAGAATTCCCAAAAAAGATTTATTCCAATCTCTAAAATTCAACTTTGATTGAGGCCTGTTATTGACTATCGTGTAGTACAGATTGGCCACCTATAACTTAGATAAAAATCTTCTCACCTACACACGTTAACAGTATATAATCTATCATCAATGTGGCATGCACTATAAAAACAGCAAGTCGATTGGAATGTCGAAACTTGTCAAATGATTCTTTCATTCTTGTTTTCAGTCCATGATGTTCCATGTTTTATACTTTCAAAATCTACACTTTTGACAAATAAAACTTGTAACTTTAGACTAGCAAGAATATCAACACAAAAGTTATTTTATAAAGTATAAGCGGCGAACTCTCTATAGTCTACAGATGAAGTTCCTCAGACTACCTAAAATGAAATTGTGGAAACAAATTACTTCGGTATAAATCAATACAGTTGCCGATAGCACCTTTAATGCTAAACAGGTACGCCAGTCTTTTTATTTAATTCCTGTGTAATTGGTCTGTAGAGTAGAAGTGTGATATGTTTCATAATTTGAGCTTCAATTTCATATAAAATAATTTGCTGTTAAGCCTATTTGACGATAATATATGATGCCGACATATTGTTAAGGAATTGACAAATTTCTATCAGTCCATGTCCAAACATAAATATATACCCGCGACAACTTACAATGTCTCTGATGAAAAATAATCACTATATCAAAACTGCAGTGATATACCAGCTCAACTCATCGGCCCACGATCTTGTGCTTCAGTAATTTCGTGGCCGAACGCGCATTTTAACATTATAAATAAATATGAACATATCAAAAGTTCTTCTTCGTAATCTCCTGTTTTGAATTACTTTTAGGAATCAGACATTTTCTCAGAAGACCTGTGTTGATAAAATTAACCAAATTACCTTTGGTTCTACAAAAGATCAAAACTAAATCATCAAAATGTGGTATCGGACTAAACCAGCTCAACTATTCAACTTTGGGTTTGATATACACCTGTCATTAGTTACCGAAGCAACCGATGTTGAATGCTATCGCTAAAGGGTTCAAACCCACATTGCTATTAACTATTTCTATCCTTGTCGATACATAGGTTTGTTCCTCTACAGCTAACTTCGTTTAATCGTTTGAACAAATTATGCCGAATGTAATCGAAATTTACGGCATCCATTCCGAACTCGATTGTAAAGTATATGTAAAAGTGTCAAGCTTCACTGAATGAATAACACGCTTGAAGATGCTTATTTTTTGTTTTGTTTTAAATGGGTGAAAATCGTATTATTTTATATGGTTGGATGATCCTCTCAAGTACACCGACTTAAAAACACATGACCTACTGTTCCGAAGCTTTATTGATATTACCTTTCGCTCATTCATCTTATTTCTCCTCTAATAATAGATAAATATATAAATATCTTTATTTATATACCACTTTACCTTTCGAGGTGATAACCAGTACTCTAATATAATGAGGATGCATGTAATTTATTCATAAAATATAAAAATAATTTTAAAAATGATGCTGCAGAGATATTCGTGGAACGCATGGGGTATATTCTTATGAATGGAATTCATAATGCAAATAGCGGACTCCACTATTTCCCTTCCAACTCCATCCCAAATTGGTACTTCCTTTTATAATAACGATACTATTATAAGTCAGTGGTTCGCAAACGGTGGGGCGCTCCCCACAAGGGGACGTAGACACTTTTTCGACGGGACGTGAGTCTAATTGAAAATATTTTTTTAGATTTGATCTCGCCCGCCTTACTTTGAACATGTGCATTTCTTTATTATTTAGAGATTGAGATTTCATCCACGTGTTTTCAACGTGTAAATTAAACATACTTTCGCCTTACTATCTGTTATTTGTAGCTTATTGTTAGCTGGGTTATTTTTCAGATGGGGCGCAAGACAAATTCTAAAAAAAGGGACGCGGCTTAAAAAGTTTGAGAACCACTGTTCTAATTATTAATACAAACGAACCCCAAACTTAAACACTATGGTCACACTGTCGCATTTAGAATAACTCACTAAAACTGAAAATTTTCTGCATAATGAGTGCTGCTTCTGTTTTTTATTTGAATTTTAAATCACAAATGATGATTCATTAAAACGACATGCTGCACCTTTACATAAACATCACAATAACACAAATTACGGTGCAGAAGCACTTTCCCTTCCCTCAGGTCGCTCATGTTGTTTTTTTGCAATTTCAAATTGCAAATACCTTGATGACCGATTTGCATGTAACTAAGATAGAAAACATTTTTGACAGCAGAATTAATACTCAAATACCCTGAATGTTCATTTTTGAAAAAATGAAACCAAAGATTTTTAATAAATATGTCGACATCCGCAATATTGTTATAATTTCGTTATGAGAAAACACATTATTCATTGTATTCTTCAGCTTTCAGTTGCTCAGGAATAAATGCAATACATCATATTGCCCTTGTTTGGAATTTCTGGAACTTGATATTTCACTAGAATATACCTGATAAAGCTTATTTATGGACGTCACTGGTGCAATACAACGCCATTCTATACTGCAATGCCGTGCAAACTAGGCAAACAATTTAATATTCAAAATTTAGTTAAATTGAGAAAAATACTGTTTTGAAAATTACACCAGGCTCTTTCATTTTGTACTATCCTCTCGCAAAACTTCTCCGTAGTATAAATCAGACCTAAAACAGCTAGATTGAGAGTTATTTTCGGTTCACTCCTATGAACTTGTGAAAACTTAAATAACCGATGCAACTACGAGTATGCCGTCTACCTCGAATTCATTGACTAACTACAATTTTCTGCTTTCATGCTTTTGAAAGTTAATGTCTCCGACATCCAACGTTCACAAGCGTAAATTTATTGAGATGTTCATGATATTGAGCAATAATACAGCAATATTGGCTTATAAATTTTAAAAACCTTTAAATTACTATATATTCAGCGGAAGTCTGACGTCGAGATGAGTCATACATATGTGATATCGTGCAACGTGAAATGTCAAAAACAAACGACATTGACTACGATATACGAGGAAAGGCTAAAAAGAAACGGGACGGACGTCACAGATTGCGCAACATGATTTACCACCGGTAATCAGCACTTTTACAGTGTGGCGTAGTATGTGTTCTTTGTTTAACAGCTGTTTTGACACAATATCGCAATTATTTTTGCTTTTTAGGAACCATAGGTGAATGTGATTAACTGCTTGTTGAAAAAAATGGCCGTGCGAGATCTGATTGAGTTTTTTGGCGATAGGGGGTTCAATTGCAGAATGACGATTGAGCGAAGAATTAACATTAAATTTTGTGTCAAACTCGGAAAAAACGGCGAATGAGACTTTGAAGATGTTGCGTGATGTTTATGGAGATTTTTCCATGTCCAGAACAAGAGTTTTTAAATAGCACAAGCGATTTGGGGAAGGCAGGGAAGATGTTGAGAATGATCCAAAGTCAGGGAGGCCAGGGACGCCACACTGCAAAAGTGTTGATTACCGATGGTTAATCGTGTTGCGCAATCTGTGACGCCAGTCCCGTTTCATTTTAGCCGCACCTCGTACATGAGAATTGGACCTGAAAGGAACGGATTGTTCGGCCTTTTCAATGATCTTGGATAATAAAAAGATGGATAATGATTGAGCAAACTGAATTGCAAAACAGAAATTTTTTTCTTTAAAATATTTTGAAGTTTTCACACCAAACAAAAAAGCTAAGCAAAATGAAGCATTCGATATTGAGTGAACGCTTCCATACGTTGATGCATGTCTTGTGTCAGCAAGTGTCGCCATTATAGGTAGAAATGTTACGCCAACTATACCTACTCAGTGCCAATTAAAATTCCTGGTCCAAATAAATGAAGGAACCTGGAAAACATATTGAAGTATCGCAGAATATTAAATTATTTATCATTGTTAATGACTTTTTTTTACATCTACACAGTAAATTTGTATAAAATAGAGAGTGGTTAAAAAAAATTTAATTGGAGGGAATATAAATGATAAATGTTTAAACTGATATTTGAGATACTGTATGTTCAATAGCATATCAACTAATTGTTTTGCTGAACAAAGCAAAAACTGTGCTACGTTTTGCATTACGGATATAGAACATAAACCCAGCGCTGCCAGAAAGTACGTAACAAAACGAATGAGCCATCTTTTATTAACACCACCGATCCTTGGGACAATTACAGTCGTTAAAACATACGAAATACTTTGAGGAAGAGCTACGACCACTGAAATGAAAGCAACACTGGTGGTACTTGACAATATTTATAATTGGATATAAAGTCACAATGTATATTCTGAGTTATCCTTTAATTAAGCTCTTATAGTGGGAAAATTTTGCTTGGACTTTAAATACTTCATTTTCTAGTTTACATTCCACTTTCTGAGTTGCAGCATTTGCTTTTTGTCATGTGTATTACAAAACTCAAAAGAGTTATATCTACTGAAATCACTTCGAACTTTCAGTGTATTAGTTAATATAGAGGATAGATTAGCCCTATCTGCGTGTCCACAGTCTCGTGGTATTGAATTGAACACACGGTAATAGTGTATAACCCCGATCTGAATTCCTCAGAGGTCAATAAGCACACCATGTATTTATAAGTTGCAAAATCGAATTGAATCCAAATAACAGATATATTGAAATGTACACCAAAACCTTAATACAGTTATACGGTTGCAAGCGAAATCAGTAATTCTCACAAAACATGAAAATTCCTATATTTTAACCCTTGGACAAAAGCCGGAAACACGTTACAAATCGATCGATAACAAAGAAGCGTTGCTAAGACTTGTAGCTTGTCGCGATAAATCATAATCGGAAATAGGGCACTGAACTATTCATTTAATTTATATAGTATTATTACAAAGGGGTAAAATGACATTAAGTCCGTAGTGACAATCCACATTTGCTACAAAAATATACATTGCTAGAAATTCAATCCGATGGTTTTGCATTATCATTTTCAACCTTTGAGCTTAGATTTCCAAAATTCAAAAAAATAACAAGCCAAATTATTTTCAGTTTTCCATGCATCCAAAAGCTGCATCTGGAAAATATGATAGTACAGAAGGATAAGACGGCCACCTCTCACAATTTCACAAAATGATTGAAAGTTTTGAAGTTGAAGAAATGTTTTGGCAGATAAATTGATAACGAAATATTAGAAAAAACTTTCCGGTATACTATTCACGAAAGACCAGCTTGAATGGTTAGAGCGTGTGCGAAGCAGAAAAACGCACGAAATTTACGACCCCCTTGCAGAATTTTATTGCGAGCTGTCGGCTGGGCCAGTCTCACAGATCATGCTAAATCATAGTGCATAAGTAGGCCCTACAAGCTTACCAGCAAACGCGCGATTCTGAGTTCCTCTATTGAAAATAAGCAGACAGTATCATCAAGAAAAACGCTTCCTTACTAAATGCAGTTTTTCTACTCTTCAAAAATAACAAGCGACGAAGAATACAGCACAATTGACAAACCGCGCCAAGCACCTTGACGAATTGGCTGAAGCGAATTCTCTCCGCAGCAACGTACCCACCAACAGCATTTGCGGAATCCTGCACCAAATGGTGTCGCAAACCGGCGGCTTTAAAAACAGTGTTCATCTTCTCCCGTATGTCCAGCTTCCCCACCCTACTATATCTATACTATATATATATATAGTATTCTCCAATTTTTCCATACTTTACAGTTCAATGTTTTCACTGAGAATCATTCCAAGTAAATTGCACATGAAGTTTCAAGTATCCGTTTGCTTATATGAATATTGTGTTGGACAATTTTTAGGGTTTCAGTGAGTGAGACAAACATTTCCCTACTAAATCACATACCATGAAATATTAGAACACGACCCAGAAATACAAAAGGACTCGCAGTATGATGGGTAGTGGCCGTAAAAAGGTGACTTCATTCGAAAATATTGCGAATCAGCGAAAGACCATTTGTTCACACAAACACACATCCCTCGCTCAGTCTTCTCGTGGAAACGTCACATTCCATTCAAATTTTAGAATAATCGGTATATATTATATGCGCGAAAAGAAACATCGCCAAGAAAAAAGAACAAGAAAAAGAAACATTTTTCAAAATTTTTATTAAATATGTCAGCTAAAATAGAACATATTCCGGAGTTAATACGGTAACATATTTTGCTATAAAGCTATGCATCTTAAAACTTGTCGCAAGCGTGAAATATGACCTCATTTTATACCTAGTTGTGGACTCAGAAGTCGAGTTTGAGTTCACAATTTGGTTACTTCAAACTGTGTTTCTCTAACTCGGGTTACATGTAAGTGAGTTATTGAGCGCACTCAATAACCTTTCTATTATCTTTGATCTGCAGCTGACGAGAGAATAACTGAAGAGTACCTATTAAAAATGATGCACAAGCCAAAACAATAAATGAAGTCGATTTTCCAGCAAATTCATACGTTATGCTGCCAAAGCTTGGACCAACTAAAAAATAAACAAAGCGATTTTTAGATTCGCGTTGTAAGAAGAGTGAAGCATGCCACTACAATATTCTGTAATATGATAGTTGAGCAATTTGACAATACGAACATAAGCAATAACTAATATAGCCTTACCCAAGATACCCATAGCCAATCCGCCCAAAGCAGTTCCAAGATTTTTTCCTCTTTCTTCCTCATCTGGAAATCTACTTGCAAGCAACGCCAGTCCTGCCGTTGAAGTAAATGCAGACCCAACGCCTTGTAATGCAGGAGCAAAGTACAAAACACAATACGTATTTCCAAATGCAAAAGCTAATGAAAATGGTTGAGTAATTTTATCTACCTGATATATTCATCTCGGATACGTTAATAATTGTTTGCATGCCAATGTATATGTTTATTGAAATACCGGAAGGACATTCGCATATTGTGGAAGTTGTGTTGGTTCAGAACTGAACACTGGTGAAATATGTTCATGGAGTAACAATGCTTTCCGCAATTAACTACAATACAAAAAAATATGAAGGAACTCTCAATTCTAAAATTTTGAAACGTACTTATACTTTTTCAATATAACTTGATTGGACATCTATTGAACCGAATTGGGACCTTTGCAACGGAAGAGACTAGGTATTCTTTCTCACGCAATACCATTAAACAAACAACTGTACTGCATAATAAATTATTAAAACAAAATTTAAACTAACTTAGTGATGATATACCTATGACAACATATTCTTCAAACATCGGTACATTGTATCCAATCCGATCCGTCAAAGGACCCAGAAATATATTTGCTATTACTTCAGCGAGTGATTTCGAACCCAGAAAAAAAAACAAGAAAAAGATTCGCTGAACCTAAAAACTGTTTGTTGTGACTTTCAAGGCAGTCAACGTCCGTATTGTTTATAACATATGAAAATAAAACAAAATTGTAAAGTAGAATATTTGTGAGGTTTAAAATATCATATATTCAATACAGGTTCATGGAGAAGTTAAAATTTGCTTGCAAAATAGTAATCAATTAGTCAAAATCTCGAGTGATGACTTTGAAAAAATTAGAAAGTTACGGATGAATGAAATTTCCACCAACTCGACAGTTGAGAAAGTTGGAAATAGGTGAAAAAGTTTCACCCTTGGGTCTGCCAATATCAACTACGCGGGTGCATAATGGACTTCATTATAGCATAAACTTGATTTCGTTGCGGGAACATAGTTTTACCTTGAAGAGTTTTTCGTGAAATGTTTTTCGACGAATGTATTTCAAGGATATGAGAATTGTTACAATTCAGAAATTCTATTTTGACCTCCATGAAAAAATATTCTGGAAATATTGGAACTGAAACAAAAAAGTGAAGTTTAGGAATGTGTTCATTATCCATTGTGTATTACATTTTCTTAAATTGTTTCGAGTTGCCGGTAACATCAGATTCATATACTCTATATATTATTTAAATATAGATTTGGTGACGAAGAACTTTTTGAAAACAAAACACGAGTTTTTACACCGTTTTACCTACACAAGTGACAAGTGTATTATCCACTACCAATGTTGCGTACACGATGAAGACGGCAAGTCCATTGGAGTTTCGAAATCTGTCAAATGCTACCTCAAATCCAGATTTGAAACCACGTAATTAATTAAGAAAACAACGAGCTAGAAAAAGATGAAATCACAAAGTATTTGACATTTATCGAAATCCCTGCATCAACCCCCCTCCCCCCCCCCAAAAAAAAATGTATTGCTCTAGACTAGCTCATTCTTTTCCAGAAACGTTCTGTGTCTCGTGATCCCACTTAAACTGGAGTTCATAATCTACGAAAATGAACACCTAAGTGGTGTCAGTTTCTGGTTACAGCGGATGTATGTATGCGCATCCATAAGCATAAGAATTAACGTAATTGAATCTTAATCTGTGCTTGAATACCGTCTTAATCCCCAATTGTTCTCCCGCCATATACGCAAGCATTTCGCAGCAATACCTCATATGACTCTTCAAAATATGCACCGAGAAGCAATAAATTTATATTCGTTCTCAGAACAGCGCTTTAGTTGATTTCAAAATAGTACTAACGTTTATTCGTCTAAAACCTAAAGTTCTTGTGTATTTGTTTGTATTAGTTACTTTTTGATCTTTCGTGATGAATAATTACGGGAGAATTACGGCTCAACGACGACTGTTCTTGCCAAAAGAAAGGTCTATTGTATTGGAACGGCGAGACAAAACCGGTTACTTGGCTGCTAATCTGAAAAGAATTTGGAAAGCTAAGACTTTGAAAGAGAGTGACAACTTTCACTTTAGAAGCACGCTCATTTACACATGAATGTTGCTGATTTAGTATACTTTTCAATCCTCTTTATATCTTTTCGCTTTTTATTGATATTTTTACCATTCCCTTCTACAAATAAATTAGTTATAGGTTATAGACAAAATTGAAGTATACTACCATACTGAACTACCAAAATGCACATGCATATTCACAAATAGCCATAATTAAATCTAATTTATGAAAAACCTGAACTTTACATTATCAACATCTAACGCAATATTTTACATGATCTACAAGAAAGCATATTTATAACTTTATCAAACATTTTTTCTCAGAAATTTAAACGTAGTAAGCACTCCCAACGGTTTCCCTTTCATTCGGGATAATATTTTCTACAGTTTGAGCAGTATTTCTTTGAACTCCCTTCACCCAATACTGAATCCTATTACTCTGGTAACTTTGAACTAAGAACCGAAGACATGGAATTCTTAACTGGAGCAGAAAACAGAATCTAATACAATTCCTGGGAAACCATCTGTCTTGCACCAAATACGAAATTTGTGCATCGATAATTTATGAAATGATGTTATATAGAAACAAAAGAGCGTTACTCAAATATATGGCCACGAAGACCAAAACGAAACAGTACGGGTATGTAATCTGTCACAGTAGACTAACGGTATCGCAGTCTTCATAACTTCGCCTGACAACCAATATTGATGACGTCATCGCAAAAACAAAATAACGAATCCAATAGACCCCACAGAAATCTTGGAAATGATTAAAAGTAATAGCCTCCTATCTAAAAATACAATGTTTAACCGCCGAAATTTCAAAGCAATTGGTCCAAGAGTTGATAAGAAAAGCCAAAAATGAAAAAAAGAATTCTAGTAACAACATAATAACAGAACAATCCATATGTACACTTCGCCCAATACCACGAAATGACAGTATATATAGTTTTAAGCGTCAATGGGAACAAGATAATATAACGATGGGCGATGACTCCTGAAACCGGTCTAGAATACAAAAAAAAATTAGCGACGACAAATTTCCTTGCCTAATATGAGATGCTGTCATCAAGATTCTTGAAATTAGGGTCGAATTGTGCGAATTTTTCAGACAGTTTTGAAGCATGTCTGTTTACGTTGAACTCATTAAAATGAATGCAATTAAGAACGTATTTCGCTTAAATATATCACGTGTGTCTGAATTATTTTTTATGCTACATGTTTGTCTGCATACAGGCATATATATCTTGTCTGAATGGTAGGTGCAACATGCTAAGATCTAGCAGTACGCATGTCATCACATTGTTAATTAGCCTGCGACCTCGCTTTCCAATGATTTGAATATTGAAGTAACGATTATAATGCATAAATAGTTTTTATATGATGTGCTTTGCAAAACAAAAATGACAAAAGTATGAGATTCACGAAAACAAACAAGGATCATCAGAAAGGGTAACTAAAAAGAGCGAGCATGCACTACATATGCAATAATCCTAGAGTAAAACTTGAATCTGATCCAAAACTCCTAATCAACATACGGAATATCCATTTATTAATTCCTCTTATTCATTCGAGCAAATGCATACATATTAATAACAATATAATGCAAAGAATAGTATCAAACTTTTCCGCCTTCGCGTGATATAAATAGAATTATAGCACTGGCAAAATAATCAATCACCAACACATAGAAAGAGAACACTTGTGATTGTGAAATAACTGAGTCTAGTATTATAATGAGCTCGTACCGATATAATTAGATCAGCTGTCGCAAAAAAAAAAGATTGAAATCAAATTTTACCAGCTAACATATTAGAAATTCTATTTGATGCTGCTTAATTGGATATTTATTTGAAATACTTCATTTTAAGCTTCTTAACTCGATTTTATCAATTGAAAGATTTTCAATTTTCAGTTTTTTTTTTTCATTTCAAAATTTCTTATTTTTCCATATCCATAACTCTTCCAACTGAAGATAGTTGGGGGTCGTATGAAACAGTATCATCTCCATTTTCATTGTTGATTATAGCCTGCAAAAATATTTAATATATTTATATTTAATATATTTAATATTTATTAGTATTTTGGTATTTGGAAATAAATAATTTCAAGATTGGTTGCTGTTGCTGTAATTGAACCATTTCAAATCATGCTGTTTCAATATCGATAACGTCAAATTTCTTGCAGCAAATATAATAACAAGAAATATTAGAATTTTAAATTATCATAACAAAATTACAAATCCTGTTGATAGTAGTGAATCGATGTTAAATTCAAACAACACAAAGAAAAAACTATTTTACTGTAACTTACCTGTTTCTCATCATCAAGTGAAGGTGGATTTCGCAGAAAAATGACGAAAGGTGCAAATATGACATTCAGTATAGCGACCAAATACATTAGCCAAGCAAAACCAATGAACCGAATTACTGAACCAGCTAGTAAAGGACCTGAAATAATTATATTTTGTTGTATACCATAGTGATAGGTCCAATGAAACTGGTGAAAGGAAAATTGGGGTACAGTATATATTTTATTATAATATATTGTCGTTCTGAAAAAGTAAAATTCGATTTATCAGTAACCAATTAGTAATAGACGGCTTTTAATATCATTTTGTGTACAAATAAATCTATTTTTTATAATCAAATGAGTTCCACACACACTGTAATCTTATTACCTATTATAAATGCAAAACAAAAAGAAGCGTCTGCAATTGCGTAAACGCTTCCGTAAATAGACGCGTGTCTGATATCTGCCAAATTTCCCATTATAGGAAGTATAGTTGCATCGACCATTCCCACAGCAATTCCGAGTAATATGCCGGGCCCGAATAACTGAAAAAATCTGCAAAATGAACGGTGTTTTCTATAACAGCAAATTTCGTAAGAATTACTTAGTTAATCAATGAATCGGAAGATATACTGGAGTCCTTCGAGATATACAGTAGCCAAATCCAAAAGGTGAAACCTCACACCAAAAATAAAAACATTTTTCGAGCGACCAGATGTTAAGTAGATCCGGAAGAACGTCCTGCAGTATTTATGTTGATTTCAAACGAAAGATCCGTAAAATTGAAGGTGCCTTCAGAGCCTTCAATTTTACGTTAGCTTCGCTAACCAATAGAATTTACTAGTGCGGCATTGATCATAAGATCTTTTTACTCGAACTGAATAGTGGTTTTATATATGTGTTTTGACTTTTGAGATGTTAAGTTGATATAAAAATAAGATTGACTCGTATGAATATCCATAAAATACACCAGATAAATGTTTGTATTCTGGTTATGTTCGTAAATGAGCAAGATTTTTATATCCTCTTTTTACTTTGCTAATTTGTTAACTATAGATTCTGGGTATGATAATGCAACGGTACAGCACACGCCATCGTAACGAGTGGAGAGAGTTTTAAAGTTACATCTCTTTTCCAACCCTATCACGATAATCGTATCTACAGTAACATATCAAGAAATATGACGGTTTTGTCGTCCTAACTGTATTTGAGATTAACGAACAATTTTATTGTAAAAACGTCAAACTATTCGGTACTTACGTTTTCGATTGCGGAAAAGTCACACACCCAACGGCTGCGACGAAATAAGAAATAAGACAAATAATCCATCTATGTCTAACACTACCTATCCTTGGTGTAACGACTGTCATTATCAGGTATGAAATGCTCACAGGAAGAGTGGCAACTCCTGAAATGAAAACATTTTGGGGTTTTAAATATTCTGTATCCGATAAAATAATTATTCTGATTATTCTGGCATATAGTAAAATCAATAACTTAGAAAAAAAATTGATATATCGAGTTCGACACTGTCATGCTAAATTTTGGAACTTAAATACTGGTTCAAGTTCTAATATTCCAGCCAAAACCTAAAATTCCGGTCAGTAGTTTTGTACTATTTTCAAATTTTCAGATCTGTTTGATGACCAACCATGTGCAAGTTTACAGACGAATAATGTGCCATGATTGGATGTATCGTTCGCCAAATTTCTATTTGTCATTCATATGATAATGCCTTATTAGTTTGCTTAAAGCTGCTCTGACACCTAGTGTTTTTACCGAGCATCCACTTCTCAGCGCACATAGTCGTCATCATCCAGATTGGAAGACCCGTTTCCATGCAACCAATTCCTAAATTTCCCAACATCAGTGCCGATGCTCCCAGTAAAATGAACGGGTCTTTAAGCATTTTAAATATAGAAAACGACAACGGGCCTTGCTGAAATATAAACAAACGTATTGAGAAAATGTAGTATCATGTGCTCTTCTAAAATATATGCACTTTTGAAATGTAAGCTATTTGTAAGCTAACGAAAGAAGGGTTGGACAAGATTCTGTAGAGTTTATTTCCAACATTTGTATACTTTAGTTGAATACAGCGTTAAATCTTATTGTAAAAATTTTCCGAAATAATTTTGAAAAACGTGTTTAAATCAAAGCACAGCTTGAAAAAGAGCAAATTAGTCTTTAGTTGTTCAGCATGTTCATCTCCAGAAAGATACTACATCCAATTACATTAACCGAATTCTTTCTGGTATTGAATGATAATTTCAACAAAACACATATCGTGTTGATTTCTTATTGTTTGCCTCGTACAATTCGTAATAGCGATAAAACATTCAAAACGAAAAAAAATCAATACATCAAACACCGAGGCAAATATATCTAGTAATAATGTCGCGGTGCTCCTGAAGTATGCGCACCAAGATGTCGCAATAGAATTAATTTTTTTTTATGAACGTCAATTGCAGATTAAATTTTCAAGCATTCTTTAGAAAGCATAAAATTACATAAACCGCAAACAGACGTAATTTCTGGACTTCATAACAAACAAGACTGGGAAATTTAACTGTATTCGGTAGCATGTGAAAAATTATTGTATTCGTTAGAATAGTGGTATCATTTTTTATTTGATGACTTCAACGCCTAAATCTACAAGAGTCGCACTGATTATCATTTCGGTTATTTGTTTAGTTGGGGTACTCGTTTATTTAGTGGAATTGGATGAATGAATTTGTGTGAAATTTCACTTAGTCCTTCAATTCGGGAAATCCATAGGTCTAATTTTGTTATAATTGTACACAAGCCAAGGTCAATATGTGGAATGCGTTAAATAAATTAACACGTGGCAATAATCAGCTATTACCTGACCAGAATTCGAAAGCTGTAATTGCCTTGAACTTAACTGAAGTGATCCTATGATAAATGAAGCAGCAGCGAGCACCAGAAATGGTGTTTCTTTTCCTGCCAGTTCGTAAGTGACGCTACCGAAACTTGGACCGACTGAAAAAATAAAGTAATTCAATATCACATATGCGTGCTACAGTTGGGTAAAAATTACACAAATAAGTTCGTTTATTTTTTTTGCAAAAAATACGTTTATCCTATTTTCATACTACAAATAAATACGAAATTACTTAGAACCCCCATTGCCAGGCCTCCTAGTGCGATTCCCATCATTTTTCCTCTTTCTTCGTCATCTGGAAATCTGCTTGCAAGCATTGCCAGTCCAGCTGTTGAGGCACACGCTGATCCAATGCCTTGTAATGCACGAGCAAAAAATAGGACGGGATACGTCTTTCCGAAAGCAAAAACTATAGAATGAAATTTTTCACAGTTATTCATTTAAAATTGAACAAATAGTCTGCAAACTCTTTAACTAGAATGTGACTTACTTAGCGAAGATACTACCAAAACTATGTATCCTGAGAACATCGGTACGTCGTAACCAAATCGGTCAGTCAGAGGGCCAACCGCAATATTTGCTATTGCTTGAATAAACGGTTTCGAGGCAAGAAGGAATGCGAGAAATAGATTTTCGGCTGCTAAGAACTGCTTGTTACGACTTTCCAGACATTCGCTTCCTGTACCGTTTCTAGAAACTGCAAATACATAAGTTGTGTGAATAGTCATAGTCACAGCTTCCATGAACAATGTACAGGGTTATAATTGAATAGATTGTTAAATAATTCGAGTGGATCTTGGCATGGTGCCACTAGCGTCCAAGCCAACTTAAGATAATGATCAATTCGACAACAAATCAGATTATGTTTGCTAGTGGATTTAAATCGTAGGATATTAAAGGTCTTTTTGTGCAAGTACTAATTTGAGATGAGAATGTAACTAACAAATAATAAAATAATAAATAAAATGTTCTTTAATCAATTTACAAATATAGGGCTCATTTACCATGAGTTGTCTCTGTTGTTTGTCCCTCCGTGGTTTGTTTTTCTAAAGAACGAGTACTTACTTCATGTATACCGGTTAAGGAGGAGAATTCTTTAGCTTCCTCATGGAAGAAATATTCGGGCAATATTGGAACTGAAAAATAATATTTAATAATAATGAAAAATATTCAGCAAAAGGACTCAATGACTTCAATGACTGTAGGAAATTGTAATTCCCAGTGGCATCAGATTATACATTATGTAGAATGAAATATACAATAATACACGGCATTGTCAATGTTGGAACTTTACACAATTATACCCGACGAGGCGTAATATTTTTCACCGTAGTGCTAAAAGACTTTTCATTGCTTAACAACGAAATCTAATTGCAATATAGAGAAAAGAAAACTTATTAAATGCCATTAAATCGGCAGTTAGACGGCTAAATTTGAATTCACTTGATTCCAAATATGTAGTTTAAATTTAATACTCACCTACACAAGTCAGAAGCATGTTATCCACCATCAAAGTCGCGTAAACTATAAATACTGCCAGGCGATTGGAGTGTCGAAATTTGTCAAATCCTGCCTTAAATCGTGATTCACTCGCTTCCATATTTTAGTTTAAATGGTAAAAGCTTCATATCTAAAATGTAAATATTGTGACAGATATTACATGTATACATAATTTGTGTTGGTAAAAATATATTTTATACTAACTATACACTAAACCACAAATAGACCAAGCGACATAAAGGCAATTTTAAATAGCATTTCTAAATGGAGCTATAGTAAAGTTGCATATACAGAGTTTTAAAATCTATTGTCTCGCATATTCTTTATTTTTCGGAGGGCACCTTACTCTCCTACTAAAGAATGCCTAAAAATTAAAGGTAATTTCAAACGATTAGACATCACTTATTGATTTATTACACTTCTGTAGATTGAAACCTTGCACTTGTCTGAATAGGTCCTGCACTGACGTTTAATCACACTAACTTGCATTAGTTACATAATTGTTAAGCGAAATAATTGCAGCTTTAAACACAATGTTAATATGAATTCTGAATTGAAGTTCAAGTATATCTTGTGAGCGACAAAACTTCACAAGCCACTATATTCAAATTTTTATTTCAATCTTTTGTGCCTCTAATTTAATAGACTGGGCTATTAGTGCTGTCTAATTTCTTGCTTTCTAACTTTTTTGTAAATAATTAATTAATTGAAGATATCTAAGAACAGCACTAGACAGTGGCAGAGAAGATTCATTTCGCAGCTTCCTTGTTTCAAAATATTGGATCCTGCAAACTCGACAGCAACCGCACTGTACCAATCAATCATCATTGAAAATTCCCGCAATTCTGAGACTTTCAAACGACCGGATTAACCGTGACAGAATAGGTGCAACCTTTCATGACGTTTAATTAATTAAGTATATTGTCAAGCTCATATCCTGCCGTCTCGCCTATGCCTAACGACATATAAAAATAAAAACAATATTGATATATGAGTGGGATATGACGAATTTAAAAGGACTAGTGCTTCTTTGGAAGAAAAGCATGTAACTTTATATAACTTTAGCACAAATTAATTAAAATGATGGGACGCTGGCAAAAAGTTTATTCACACATTCCGAATCATATATCTGATGTCTGTAGAACGCGAAAAAAAATTAATTTTGCAAAAAAAAAAAATTAGTGGTGAGAATGGTCGTTGGTTGTATAAAGATCAAAAATTAATATCAAATAAGATTGGCTCATAGTTTTCCTGAATTTTCAGTATTCGATCCTGCAAAAAAGTTTATCAATAGCACATACTTAGATATGATTCGTATACTGTTATTGTGGCTTACAGACAAAGAAATTTCACTCCTAAACGTATTTTTCACAAAGTTCAGTTGCGTGGAATTCATTACCATATAGCATTTTTTCTGATCGTATTGCCTTGAATTGCATTAAGTCTTGAATCAACTACCGTTTGCTGGCATGCAACGCATCGTTATAAATCTACATAAATGCAGTATCCCTTGACATTTCAGTAGCAGATGCCCATAGTTTGCTCATATATGAGTCTGCTTGCTTCTGAGTCCGTACAAATGACCTTCATCTGTGCAAATTCTGGACACAAAGTGGACCTGTGTATCGTTTTGTCATTTAGTTGTTGTTGATATTGAAAGTATTTTTATTCAGGTTGTTATGAATATCTCATTTACTAATGGCCCAATTGCTTTGGAATTTTCAGCGGTTAAAGATTGTATCTATTACTTAGTTCATTTCTGAATTTTCTAGGAATCCTATGAAATCTGATATTTCTCTCAAAATTTTGCCATTTCGGTGTTTACGTTTCGCTAGCCTGACGTTAATGACAAACAACAGTAAGTTAAGTATTACAAAGTCTAGGATCGAAATACTATGCATAATTTCTACAGCCCCAACAAATCTTTTCGACGTATCGATTTAAACTATATTGAGCATTGAAAACACTAACTCAATCCTGGAACAATATTTTTTTCTTGCTGGCCAATATACTATGCAAGAAATATTCTAAATCCATCAAAAGGAAGCATCATGTACCAGCATCGTGTTCTTTTGTAACTGACAGTCTTCTAGGCGCAAACGAGATTTAAATAATTGAAATTTGATGACTCGCAGTAACGAAACAACCTACTAAATACAGATTCAATACTCAGCAATGCTTGTCATCTCTTCGCATTGGCGTACCAAGAAGTTTCCAGCATGTTCCATATATCATACCATAAATTTTAAAATAAATCTAATAAGAGGCATTTATCAAGTTTGTTTCATATAAAGCGGACGACCTTATCTACAACTTTATTTTAATTTTGTAGAATTTTTATATATGAAATGCTTGGTAAATTTATGAAAATATATGTAATAAATATGCAAACCAGAACAGAGCCCAAACCTTAAATCTTCTGAAACTGGAAGATCTATAAGTATGATTTATGACCGATCCAGCTTACTTTATTTCGACTTCCTAGACGAAATTGTGGACATGAGCCGAACTTAAAAGTGCACTAATACAAGACATACTAACAGCCTAAACCAGCGTTTCCCAACGTTTTCTGGTCGCGGACTATTTTCTCCTTGGCGAAAACCTTTGCGGACTCAAGGTGCGTTTATTGCAAACGGACTCTGTGTGAAGAAGCAATAAAACCAAACACAACAGAATTTTAACGAATTTTTAAAATTGCAACTCCGCCGCAATTACGTGTTCGTTAAAAATCTTACTATCTGCTATAAATTTCCAGAAAGTACAACTTGATTTATTACTTGAAAATATATATAAAGTATATTAGTAAATCAAAAATACATACTCGCCTTGAAACGTCACTCGTTAAAAGAGCCGACTTTTCAAGGATTTTTTTCTGTGGTATAAAATATTCAATCCATGGCCGATATGCGCATTTTTGAAATGGGTTGCTTCAACTTTATCAATTGAAAAAATTAGAGTGGCCACCATTGACACCTACCAGGAAAAAATTTATTCCTCGTTGTTCAAACTCGCGAGAAACCACCAAGAATTATTGACTCTTGATTAATGTTATGCGAATAAACTTGCCTTTATGTAATTTCTAACATAAATCGTCACTTGGCCGATAGTTAAGATTCGCTAAAACGTTTGCGACCCGCAGTGAATTTCTGGCTCGTCGCGAACTCATTCAAACGCTCCGCGGACTCATTTGAGACCGCGGACTCGGGTTGGGAAACACTGGCCTAAACACTAAACTAAAATACCTATCTATCTCAATAACAACTAAGCGGCACATTTCTACTTGCGTTCTATTATTTTGAGCTTGCGCTAATTCACTCGGATCTAGTATCATATTGTCCCATTTTTCAATTTTTCACGCCGTGTTAATTTTTACCTTCTAATATATACAATAGTGCACTATTCATATCATGCCCCGAGGAAGTTTTTCTGAATAGAAATTTGAAACGTCGTCAAGTAAAATCGTTTTGCTATACATCGGTTGTGCTTTACGTATCTTCGACATTTCTAATTTGATAACTAGATACAACCTGTACATAGTAGATAAACTAATACAAAAACTGAATTATAATTTGAAGAATATGTATTACTGTGTCAATGATTCGTTTTCTTATGAAGATGTTAATTTTTATGACCTTTTCAATGGTTAATATTCGATCAATATTCACGCTATCGGCAGCATACAATAATATTACGTGCGGTACAGCCATCGAGCGTCATATGTGTATGACAGGTGGTATCCGTAGCAGACAGTATATTCAATACACTCATTGCTCACGAATTCCAATTCCACATGACATAAAAAAAAAAATAGGTAAAAACCTCGACACAAATAAACCATACACTTTCCTTGCGACACACTGTTTAAAGACTGTTAAAATCACGCATGTGTACAATGACTCACGGCATGTTTAGGCTAATCAAAATATTCATAATTTTGGTAACACCGTCATTACTGGAATATAAATATAAATGCATAATAATAAACTGTGATCATCTAAAATTACTGCCTGCACTATGATCAACCAAAAGATTAATTTCATGAACGACAACAAAACCTATACTTGTTACCACAATATACTAGAAAATGGATTTTAGTCCTAACCTATGAAAACCAATAGCAGCAGATCAATAATTCGGCCAATAGGAAATTATAACACCCTCAACGAGTCCTGCGACAATGTCTGGCTACTTTATACCCCCATTGTTGACCTTTTTAGCGGAATTTATTATAAATGTTATACACCAAAAAGCGCATTGATTAACATTGTTCGCCGAAATGTTCTACCATTTTCAGAATGCGTCCGAGAATACTCGTATATCCGATGAAATAGTATTTCATTAACCAGGTCAATGCAACCAATGTACATTGTTTAAATTGGGCGTTGTTTTAGTGAAAACTTCAATGCATCGTATTGGAATACGACGCCTTAGACACTGGGCAAAATGCTTTGTAAATACGTTTTATACGGTCGGTAAATAAAGTCTGCGATGCCGGTAAATTGGTCATAAGCCGCCTTCATAGCCCTACTTTTAATTTTATTCAGCAATTATTCAGCGTAATTTCAGTAGTCAATAAATATTATATTAAAAGGTTTGTTGAGTAATATAATGAAAGTTCAGCAATAAGCCTCGCAGTTTGCCCGTTGGGCTTAACTTTTTTGGCGTTACTTATAGCCACCTCTAATGTGTGATAAATCGTGTACGCTGTGCCGAAACAAAGTGAGTTTGATAATTTCAAAATATATATAACCATAAAATGTTAGTTTATTTTCTTATATCGCATTTCACAGGTGTAGTATGTCATGTGGAATGGCGATTCCTATAATACAATTACGAAGTCTTGGAAGTGTACAAGTATAATGGCTGGAAAACCTTTATTCACTCAGATGCATCAAATTTTTACCTTCATTATTGAGGATCCGTATCCGTCCTCATTCAGACGGGAAGGTAATCGGTAATGGTTTTAAAAAAATTAATTCCAAAAAAGCCTTTCAGCATGTACAATATTTATACCATTATTAACATACAAGCACGACTAAATTGCTTAGCACAGGGGTGGCCAACCTGCTTTCAACTGCGGTTCACTGAAATCTTCAAAATAGCTCACGATCGGCTGATCGGCGTTAATAA